ATGATTATTATGTTGTACTTTTCACGTGTTGTTCCATAAATGGTTGGCTAAATGCTAGAATGGTTCTTATGTAGATCATATTTTAATGTCAAAAAAACAAATGATCTTTTATGAAATCTTGAGTGGTCCAGGTTACATGAAAGCTGAGTTGAACTCATATATTGATTATATGTGATCACGTGGGACATTTAAGTTTTGGGTTAATCTTCTCCTATCTAGGTGTTAGAGTAGGTGCATGTATGACAAGAGGATTTGACTCTGACAATTTTGTATCAGATCCCACATGTGTGATCATGTGGGACGGTAATTTTGGGGTTATGAATCATGACAATTTGGTATTAGTGTCAAAATATTGGATCATCAGGCTATAAATCATTTTAGAAACTTGTGTCACTTCATCACTCCTTTTGTGTGGCGTGTCTTTTGTCATATGAGGTGAGTCCAATTGTATCTCAGGATTCCTATTGGTTTCTTGACAAGGTAATATAATTTCTTAGATACAAACTCAAGCAAGGAAAGATTAGAATCGGGAAAGTTCCATTTAGTATCTGGCTTTAAGAGTCATGTGAATGCTTGGGTGATCAGTTTGTGGTCATTAATGATATGAATAAGAGGTAATGACATGTATTTCCATAAAAATATAACTTAATCATGGTTACTTTGTGCATTGTATTTCCAGAATTTTTGCATCTATGGGAAGTGTAATTACTTGTATTTCTGTGATATTATGGACAAGAAAGGTACTTAAATTGATTATGTGTGTTTAATTAATGATAATTTCTATATGATTTACTGAACATGTTTTGGACTAGAACAGTCCTATAATTTAATGCTTATGTTTTGTATTGGAAATTTCGTGTTAAATTGGCATGGACTTACCATTGGTATAGATGGTAAGGGAAAAGGATAAATTGTTACAGTGGGGAAATTCTGATTTTTGAATAGTTGTTATTGGTTGGGATCCACGAGGAAGAGGGTTTTGTGGTATGATAGTAAAAAATGTTATATTATGCACTACTTTCTAGTGTTATTCATAATTAATTTCTTGAGAAGGTAGTGTTAGGTGTCTAGTTATATGTTGTTGGATATAATCTTGGGGTTTCATTTGAATCTAGGATACACATATCTAGGATACTTAAGTCTCTGATGGATGTTGGGATTATATTATTAATAGTTATGCGTTTCAATAATTGGTAGGGATAAGGAAATGGAAAACAATTCTTATTTTAGAAAAATTATGGGTTGAACTCGTCAAGGCTGCATAGCGCGACAGGGCCATTATAGTGGGAGTTTTTTTGCTACGAATGTATCAATGATAGTGGTCTGTCAGTCTCTATAGTGGAAATGGCGAGGTAGAATCTGAACATTGTTTCCCCTATTTTTGCATTGCATTTCCAAACAGTTGAAATCTCCAGTTTGAGTTCATATCACTATGAAGTAAAAGGATTTGAGATTTTTGGAAATATAGGGACAATAGAGTATAGGTTCGCTTGCCACCAATTTATGTATATACCATTCAGTGTTCCAATGCATCCATGATGAAAAGGTACCATGGGATGGGGAGTACATTATCAAGTAAGACTTAATAGTTCTATAAAAGGATCTACAATATGAAGAAGAGCTAGTTGCTATGCTTTATTATGATTTCCAAAAGTTGAGAATAGAGGAAATTAGATTGGTAAAGGTTTGATAGAAGCATAATGTAGTTGAGTAAGCTACGTGAGAAATCAAGGAGGACCTACGGCAACAAACATCATCATTTGTTTAAGGAGTCGGCCAACACTTTCTTCTTGACTCAGATTGTTTTTTTATCGCTCGGGAACGAGCGATGAGTAAATTAGTATCTATTGTAGCAACATATCATGTCATTACGGGTAAGGAAAATAATTGGTCCAGGCTACTATAGTGGGGTAAGTTTTTGTAAATGTAGAAAAAAACAAAAAATTGTCCATATTTATCAAAAAATGTTGTGGATAAGAAAAAAAAGGGTGATCTAAGGCAAATTTAATAGTTTTTCATGAGTAATATTCGTAAAGTAAGCAATTTGATCCCTACTTGTATAGTTCAAGCTTTAGACCTTAGCGAAAATATTTGTGATCGTCTGTGTGTGGGAGGGGGGGGCTAAATTCATCCTAAGGTAGGGAAAATGTGAATTTTTGAATATTATAGAGTGTAACACCTTTGGTAGCTTTTAAAAAAGGCAATTTTTGATTTTATTTACCATAAGGCACTAGTGTATTCATGATGTTGGTAATCCTAGATGAATTAAGAGTGGGATTGACCTAGATTAGGTGTGAAATCATGAGGTTGGCCTACCATTTTGGATTCTGATATAATTTGAAAATACTTAGGCCATTTGTGATTTATTTTGTATTGTATTAATATTTTAGGCCAACAATAAGCTAAAAACATTACGAAAGGAGACAAAGTTCGCGATCAAATTTCTACAACATTTTCTTCTCCCCAAATAATCTAGGTTTTCTTAACTGAATAGTTAGACCAATATTCTATTTCATAATATTCTTGTGGATGGACGGAGAGTTTGTGCAGTCTTTTAGGCACGTAGTCTGAATGGATAAAGTTTGTAGTTATTGCTATTAAGGCAGTGGAAGATAATAACTAAGGGTTAGGGTTTTTTAGTTCTTGATTGTTAACCTTTAGTTTTCTTGTTGGTGTGGTTTAGGCTAAGATCTTGAAGCTGAAAAGCAATAGCTCTAGTTGGGGCCCTAGAACAAAAGGAGAAAAAGTAGAAGTATCTGCAAAAGATAAGCAATTTGTTCACATACTCGTTTTCCCACATACGCACAGAGAGTTAGTCAAAACACCACTTTTTTTTTCAAAAAGGGCCGACAACATAAGGCTCTTCATATGAACCTGTGTACCAAAGGAATACAGTTCAGCATCGGGAAGCCTACTCCTCGGGTTGTTCAGTACTTTAATATGCTTGTCGCAAAGACAAACTACTTTTCTATTCGCTATCTTGCGCGACTCTACTCATGCGGGACTGACTGTGCAATACTAAGAATGGAGTACGCCGCCCATCAAAGTAAGTCCAGAAATAGACAGTAATCCTAATAAAACAAATAATATCAAAGAATTTGAATCACCAATTTTTTTCCATATTTTAAAAAGGAAAAATACTCTACTAATATGAAAATTCTATCAATGGGATAGTAAAACTCCCACCTTGAAAAGAAATGGTATTTATTCTTTTGTGTACAAAAAAGTTACTATTCAGTGAATACTAAATATAGAATTTCCTAATTGTGTTATTTTCTATATGAATCAGAAAAGCGAAATAGAGTTCCGTTACATATGGATTGGTGAGAAAATGAGTGATGATCACATGTTAAGTGTTATTAAATTTCTAGTTATAGCCATTTCTAAGACATGTGTTAATTAAGGAACTAAATAAATGGGAGAGTATTAATTCATGAGATTGTGGGGGTAATTTTCTAAGGAATAAATTTGTACTCTTAATGTGTCTTGTATTGGGCTATTGAGATATACGTGTATATAATTATTTTTTTGTTCATATTCACTAATCCATGTGAAATGCACGTGTAATATATGTTTAGGAAATAAATGTTGAATGTGAATTCACTTAATGTTGATAAGCTCATAACATAAACATGTTTAATTTACTTATGGCTTCCACACTAATTGTGATTGTGCATGTTATTTGTGATTGCTGATTGTATTTGTGCATGAAGTTTTCACGATCCAAACTATACCTTAGACGTGACATGAAATATAAGACCTCGAGAGGTCCTACATAAGCCACTTGACATACATCTAATAAAATAGAATACACAATAAGAGAGTTTAAGTAGGACGTCTCATATCATGAAAGACAAGTTTAACAAAAATGTGGAATCATAACTATGTCTTGACAAGCCATTCTAAGCAGCATAAAAGTGGTTGGGAGGTAACCCATACATAACGTACAAAGTTCTAAAACTAAATACATAAAAAACGTAGCATGGGTAACATAGTCCTCAGAATATGAGGACAGAATATTATTCAGAGGAAAGCAAACTACTAGCCACGAGTGAGAGGAGAAAGAGCTTTAGGCACTACATTAAGATACGATTTAGGAACGAGTATGCATTGATACACGCAAAGTACTAAGTATGGGGGGAAATGCATAAACATACATATGGTATCATAATAGGCTTAAAACATGTAATGCATGATCAATTAGAACATTTTAAACCTTAGGAAAAGCACGATCTTAAAAGAAACATGAAACAAGGACAATGCATTAGTACAAGGACATAACTTAATTCTTTGAGAGAAATCATAGTTCTTTTTCTGGTATATTAGATTTAACTGACAATAGACCATATGATCTATAATGTGGAACTTTATGAAACTCCCACACTTAAAAAAAAGATCTGATTACAAAAATAGAACGATGTATCATATCATCAAGGCTATGTGGATCCACAAGAGATAGGTTACTTAAGATAGTCCTACAAGGCATGTAGTTTTGGACTAGAGAGTGATATTAGAGAACACCCTATTTAGGACTCTACCTTAAATTCCTCTTTGTGCTAAGTTAAATCCCAATGGAATTAGATAAAGACAGTTTTGAAAGTATGAGATTAAGAAAGGAATGATCGCAATACCTATTCAAATAATAAAGTTGTATAAGAGTAGATTTTTTCAAAACCATAATTTCATAACTTTATTCTTATAAATTATTACCTTCTTAAGAATCAAAAATCATGATTTCTTTCAAATCGTGAGAAAAACATTCACAAATTGTTGATACTTCAATTAAAATCATCATTAAATCATAACTTCATCCTTTGGAAAATATGCACAAAATCTCATATCAATTCATGACCATTGTTCATAGGTCATAGGTGAAGTTAAAGCATAAAACATGGGTCTAGATGAAATCAATTATAAATCATGTAATTAGGTTAAATAATGCAAAATAAGATAGAACAAAATCAATTGAATTATAAGAAAAAAGATCTATAAAGACTTACATAAAACCCTAATTGAATTGGAGATTGGTGTTCTTTTGGGTCCCAATGGATGAAAGAAATACATTGGTGAATTCCCACGACCTTGATAATCAAAGAAAAAAAAGCAATGGATATTGAGGCCTTGAATCCTTTGAAAATATAGTTTTTCACTTGGAAGGTTAAGAGAGATAAGGGGATTTTAAGTGAATGGAAGAAATTTTGCTTAGTTTTTAAGAGTAAAAAAGGTCATACGGAAGTTATAGGTCAAAGAAAAAATTAGTTTAGGCTTTGATTGGTAGAAAATGACCAAATCATCTCAATTTAGAAACTACGGAAGTTACCTAAAATTTTAAGTTGTGGTCCATAGATCATTCTACTTCCCATACTAGTCAATAGTCGAATCACATCCTGAGCCAAAATCTTGGGCAATTCCTACGAGTATGTCTGCGGACTTGTCGGCAGGTCTACAATCTGTAGACCTTACCTTAGTCCTAACTTTAAGTCCAAAATTTTACCAAGTCTGAATTAACACCACTGGAACTTCCTATGGCATGTAATTCATCCTATGACTCACTTGCTCAATCATAGACCCAACTTTGAAAACTGAATTTTTCCTAAATCTCAACTTAGTTCCTACGAACCATATCTATGACTCATATATTCTCCCGCGAACTGTAGATGAGTTTCATGGGTTTGAAGAAATAGACAAACAAATGAAATCCTTCCTTTCCAATTTGACATTCCAGCTTCGTTGTTACATGAAACTGATGGTTGACTTGGGTACCGAAGCAATACATAATACTAAAGGTTGACTTGAATTCCATGCCTAGTATGTATTAAAAATAGTTTGCTCGGATACCATGATAGTACACTAGTAGTTTGTGTATGAGTTCCATGAGAAACTGAGTTTATTTATTACGTTATATTTGTGACATATTAGTCCATGAGTGGTCGATCTTTGTGTTTAAATATTGGGATTCTTTCTATATATAACATTTACATATTAAATACTTTGGATGATTTTTAATGATCCTTGTTACATGAAAAATATGAGATGGAATCAGATATGTTTGTGTGTGATTATGTGGGACAGGCTTCATCTGAAGGTTAAGTTTGGGGTTGAGTGTTTTCCTATATAAGTATTAGAGTAGGTGTCCGCACGGTTTAGTGAATTTGTTTGTTATTATAATAAAAATAAATATAGTAATCTCTAAATAAGTTACTAGTTAAATTTTAGAGAGAATAAGTTGTTAAAAACTCATTGACCCTCTCCATTATTCTACCCTGGTAGAATGAGTCTTAAAGAGACTAATGCCACAAACAATGGAAAAAAAGTAAAGATGTATGATAAATGAGTAAATATTAGCTAAATAACCCCAAAATAACAAAGAAAATCACATAGTTTCATGTAAAACAAAATAAAATCAATCACTTAAATGATTAAGTAGTAGTCAGTTAATATTGTTCACCTTAATGTCTTACCTAGTGGCATATTTAACACTTTATATGAACTAACTTTAGATTGGTCATCAATTCATGAACTATTTTACAACTAACCATGATGCAACCTATGTTAGAAATGAACATTGATATAGAGTTATTTGTTTATTCTTTGAGTAAGTCTTAAGTGAGGAAAACTCATTTTGAATATGTTCATGGTTCTCTTTGCTAGTAGTGGAATATCTTCAAAATTCTCTATGACATGTATATTTGTAAAATGAGTAGATAAGATGGCAAAAAACATTAAATAGTGTGTTGCCTTCCCTAAAAGGGTGTTTTAACTGAATTGGGTCATCGTCACTTACTATGTTTACAACTTGTACCTCCTTCACAACACTTAAAAGCATTTTCTATCTTTTTTTCTATATATTGAGCATAACAAGTTAGTCAAAGGAATATAAACCTTTGTTACTACTACAGTAATAGGATTTTTGAGATAAATAATTTCCTTCCTTTCACCCCTAAAATAGTTCTCTCACTTTTTGTTATTCAAATGGCAGTAGCACTAGGTCCCGAGTTATCCTTGGATGCATTATCTGTTTTGCATATAAACCATCAAACAGAAGACGGATTTCTCTCACAATCATATGTCATTAAGTTGACTTTCATTCTTCTCAAAATCATAACATATGAGGTAATTTGATAGATAAATTTTACAATAAAGGAAAGGTTAAGAAGGTAAAATTATGATTGGAATAACTTCTCTCATGAATAACTTTCTCATAAGGGAACTATCCACCATGAAAATTAGAGTTTCTTATCTTTCATATAAACCATAATATCATAACATGTACTACAACCATTATAGACCTAACCTTTAGGCATATTCATTGTCAAAAGGTCCCTTTACATGAGAAAATATTGCAGTTGTAAAATTTCTTTTATGGGCCTCTGTTTCAGTATTTAAGATTTCTTTTTGGTGGGAAATATTTAATTTTAGATAATCTTAAATAAAGGGGACAGAAAATTATTTGACATTATTTTTATATTCTTATGTTGTATATGTCAATTTTATTCACCCAAAATTGTAAAAAATATATGTCTTTCATATGCATTAAATATTCTAAGTGAATTTGGATGAGCGGGGGTGGGTGGGTGCCCCATGCCTCCTTAGAGTTCATCTATATAATAAATAAATCATGTTCAATGTTCTTCATCCAATAACAATTTTCTACCTACTCAAATATCTTTTGTACTCAGCTATTTTATTTTTTTTATGTCTTTTATGTATTCATAAGTCATACCCTCCCCCTCTACTCTCACACAACCCATCATTAGCTTATATATAAAAAAACCGTTTTTACATCTTCAGATTTTGCTCTATGCTTCATTTTCTACAACTACTAAATATAATTTTATATAAATCTAACATGAGTGGTAACAATTAGGCTATAAGCATACTTATAAGAAGTTTCAAAATTAAAAAATTTAAAAATATTGTAGCTCAAAGATCAGGCTTTATCTCTTAATTATGAAAATTATGATTGAAATTTTCTTGAAATACTTTTACATTTGACATGACTAATTTGAATTTCTCTCTTGAATTGTTTCCTATGAATTTCCTAGTTTCTTATCTGAAAACCCCAAATAATCGATCTTTCGTCATCATCAACACCACAGACCCCATTCATGTGATTGCTAATCAATTTATGATGAATCAAACTGATAACCAACAAAATATATGATTCGTTTAACCAACATTACTATGATGTAAAATATACTCATAAAATAATAAAAAAGATGAGGCTAAATTTTCTAATAAAACAAATCTTTATAGCTTACGTTTATTATCTTTTCCTACACTTCAACACATCCAGCATTCGATCCCCACCACCCTACACCCTACATTCGCCCTCTAGTACCCCTGTAGCATTCATCTCCACCACCCTACACCTTACCTTCTGTCCTCTACACTCACAGATTTTTTCTAGAAAATATTTTCCATTACAACAAACACCACAAAAACTCATGCGTTTTTATTCATCGATTATTGGTTTAATTTTTTATATGTATTTATAATCATAATGATGATAATTAAACCTTTATATATTGATTTCGTCTGACAAATGGTCTAAGGTTGGACTCTCATGCATCTTTATGAAAACCTCAATTGAGCAAAAGGCAACAACTATAAAAAGATTCATTGATACTATAGTGAAAGTTTGGAGAAAAGAGATCCTAGATGGGTTTAGGGAACGATCACATGTCGTAATTGAGAAAGAATCTGATGCTGCAACAAGATCAACTGTCACTACAAGATTGACACGTTGCTTTATGTAAAATGTTAATCATAATGTTCTTAATTTAATCTGGAAACACTAAATGTATACACAAGTATATTACAATTAAGATATTATTTCAAACTAACCTTTTCTTAATCAGATGACAATACAAGAATTAAGAGGGGTCGACGAAAAACAAGGGGAAAAAGTCTTCAAAAAATTAATAGGGCTTTGGGGAAAAAGATGGTGATAGATCCTAGTCGGGAAAGGGATACCTATTAAGACGGCTCATTCAGCGAAACTCTCAAATGAATTGGGGATAATTACACAAAAATTTCTTGTGCTTCAAAATAAGTTGAAGGAACTCACTGTAGAGGAAAAAGATGTTTGATATATCGCGGTTTCACGGTATTATTAATACTTTTTCCTTAAGTTTAGTGTGTCCAAAAGTCCTTTTGTGCTAATTTTTATGTAAGTTTCTCTTTATTTGCAGGAAATCTATCTAAAAGAGGAATGCGGAGATTTTTCAGCGAGAAATACATAAAAATACCACCTACGGAGCTTGTTACGATTCGTCGTGCCCGTGACGGTCTGTAGGTGGCATCGTAGTGCAGGTGCTGAATGAAGATGGGAAAGTCTGACCAAGTGTGGGGTTACGGAGTGTAGGACGGACTGTCGTATCCATGACGGTCCGTCCTGCTGGTTCGTCATGATGTTCAGAGAAGTAGTCCCAGTATCCAAATTTCAAGAGTTTAAGTGTTTTGGAACGGAAACCCTCGACGGACCGTTGTGCCTATGATGATTCGTCATATATGCCGTCGAGGATAATAAAGAGAGAAGCAGAAGAAATTGAACAAGTATAGGACGACAGAGTCCATGACGGTCCGTAATGACCACGACGATCCGTCGCGAGGTCCGTCGACCCAGCCGCATTTTGATTGATTTCCAGCAAATAGAGTCCTTATGTAATCAGTTTTTTATTTTTTTATAAATAGTTTGAAAAACTTCATTTTGGAGGTTAGACTCTGGATTATTTGGTTAGGCCCTTGATTATTGTTAGACTCTAGATTATTTTTTTAGGCCCTTGATTATTGTTAGACTCTTGATTAATTTTTAGACCTTTTGTGAGATTCTTGATTATTTTGAGGATCTTTTAATTGATTGTTGTTGATTTTTGTTGATTAATCAAGAGAACATTCGGATTTTACTCTTTCTCATTGAAGTAAGTACATGAATTCTTATACCATATATTTGAATATTGTGATTATGACTATGTGTAACTAAACTCCATAACTAGGTTTTGGGAACCATAGGCAAATAATGAGGTAAAACATAACAAAAATAACAATTCTAGAATAGTGTCTTGCATGTATTGATAATTCTTTCGCTTAGAAGTCTTTTTAATGAATGGCCAACGTTAGAATTCACCTTAATGCTACTTGTCGAACCAAGGAGGTAGACAATAGGAAAAGAATTATCAACATAG